CTTAAAAGCCTATCAGCTTTTCCTTCGCTCCTTTCATGTACCTCAGAAAAATGCACCGTACATTCTAGATTGATAATTTACAGACTGACAGGCTGATATGTGATGGGAAATGGCTAGAGTACTTGGATATTTCAAAACTAGTTAGGAGAAAGTGCACACCAGTAGTTATCAGCAGATAATATATCCATTGTCAAATCCACGCTTCTAAGGCAGGTATCATGCCACTCCCTAGGACTGCATTTACTTCTTAAGGTGAGGACCCAAATGTAATTGTTCACTATGGATGCTCATTTACTGAAGGTTAAACAATGATTACATTTAAAGTTTACCTCTCGCTGCAACTGGATACATCTTAAGAATGTACAAAGAAGCTTCTTTTTGCGAGGCATCCAGGACTAGTTGATCAAATGGAGGAAAGTCCTGCACTTACAAGGCAGCAAAGATCTCTTGCGGCATTTAGTAAATTCTACCCCTGGGGAAATTTGTACTGTAATACTTTTTTGTTTGTTTATCTCGTCGTTTCGGCTGTGGGAGCACTGAAGGAGTAGACCATTGTACTTTTATACGGCTGCATGACCTCTGGGCCATGCCATTAGTACTCAGCCCTTCTCAACTTCGGTAACATATATTTTGCCCTAGTATTGCGGCTTCTTTCGTCTTCAGAAAAGTCTCGGGCGCTACACTAATGGCAACTTGGAGGGAATCCGACCTTAAGGGGCAACCGCTCCTATTTCTGATGCTGGATTATAAACCTTAAGGTGACAGAAGAAGGGCATATTCTTCAGGTGGCAGAGTCTGCGATACCCTTTACAGAAGGATTGTAAATAAGGTCTACCTTGCAAAACTATCACAATCTCGAGTTTTGTAGGAATACTATTAACAGCTGAAGCCATTCTAGCCACTACCATTTGAGGAAATACATTCTAGAGCTATACCATGGAGCTGCATAAAGATGGAAATTAAATGAACTCAGGCTACCTCTTCTACCTCTCTACTGGCTGGATACAAACCAGATAGATAATGACGAGGCATCATTAAAGTGGGAACAGTGGCAAGGAAGGATGGACGCAAAGCCTATCCCTACAAAACTATCTTTAAATCCCGTCCTTTGTTATATGACTGCTTTTAGAGCGGTGTTCCTACAACTAGCAATGAGCATAAGAGATGCGCGCAACATTTCTTTTCCCGCAATACAGTTACTAGACAAGACAACTCCAGGTACATTGGAAATGCCAAGGGGGACCAGTGACATGGCATGGTTGGAACGTGGGTTTTTTACAGCATCGACTACGTGGTGCTAACCAATGCGAAGGTTGTTTAGGGGTAGCATCAGGGCCAGAGTTTAAAAGGAGAGAGAGTTTATGCAATATTTGGATTGTTTGTTTACGGTTACGCAAGCACTTAAGCCCAAGTCGGTAATACATTTTCTGCCCTAGCATGATGTCCTCTTCAGAAAAGTCCTAGGGCGCTGCAGTGCTCTTAGTTAAGAATATCAATCTTTGTTTACTTCATGAGCAGAAAAATTCGTTTCATGTGGCAAAATTTAATTCCTGATATGGAAAAGTGACAGCTGATTTGAATTTTGTTTTCTTTAACATGAAATTCCTAGTATAGGCATCCCACCCACTATTAGCGGAAGCTCCATGCAATGGAGAAAGTCAAAAAATTCTAAATAGAAACGATTTCTAAGAATGCCAAAAAATGTACCAACTGACCGGCTAGAACCGTAAAATACTTGTGGCTTTTAAATAGATAACCATATACAGTTTTTATGAAGTCAGATCCATGCAGAAGTCCTTTGCTCCCTTCAATTTGTTTTGATGTTCACCATAACAATCCACAAGCCATAGGAAACATGCTAGTTACAAATTCCATTTCTATGCTGCTCTTTGTCCCTAGAAATCAAAAACAGCTCTTGGCACTACTCCACTTTATTTATTAACTGCGTGCTTTGCATCTGAATGTCTGTTGCCTTGATAAGGCGACAGTCACTCGAAGAAGCGTGAGGGATGAGGTGGGGCAGTAAATCCTGGCAAGGAGGAGTTTTTCCTTTTCTTCTCTGGAATTTATCAAGCCGACTGATCACGACTATGCACTTTGTTTGGCCTTCGACAAGTAAAAGTAAGCCATGCAGGTCCCACACGAATACCAAGCAGGTCACTTGGGGATGAAGGGTACATAATCCCGACTTGTGGTCAGGTAAAGGGCCATGGGTTTTGGACCGGTTGGGGAAGGCCAATGATGTAAAAGTTGGAATAGCAAATCATCACGGTCATTTATCACCACAAATCAGCCACTCAGCCAGTAAACAAACAATCTAGGATCTTTGCTGCATTTTTGTAAGGCACGCAGGATAAGCGAGGACCACGATTGATATTGTTCTGGGCTTATTGCCTGTCATAAGACAATATATGCCATGTTGGTGGGATGAATTCGCTTAGTTGCGTGGCTTTCACTATAATTTTCTCTTCCCAGTTGGTTGATTTAGATGCTTACCGAGTCCGTCTTCTCGACTCATGTTAGATATTACCGGAAGCCATGCTCGACAAGTTGATCACAAAACGCCTTATTCAAATTGGGGATAGTGAGTCCTTCTAAACGTAATGCATCATCCAGTTGCCCGTAACCAGAATTAACTTGTTTAAATCAGTTTCTGGGCATTGCTTTCTGCTGCAGTACTCTGTGCCTTCCCCAGATGTCACATAATGCATGGGAATCGAATCCGCAGTACCTGTGGCTGTAGATAAGGGAGCAAGTTAGACTCGTTTTCTAAAACATCAGGGAAGGTCGAATCACATAAATCAGGTAGATCAAAGGCCAATTCCTGTAGTGATATGACAATTCTAAATATCAGGGGACTGAAATAGCCAGAAGCAGGATAAAGCGTGATGCAGCGGTAGAATGACCGAAGCATATCGCAATCCGATCTAGGCTTGATTAGGCATGCATGTAAACACTCACATAAGCTTTATCTGTCTCCGCTAGTTACAGAAAGCTGAAGGATGGTATATACCGAATACCTCAATAACTTTTTGAACATTCGATATTTTTGAAAAATTTACTATTACTCTGGTGAATAAACTTGGCGATTATGAAATGCCTACCTGCAGCTGCCCAATGTATGACCACGGTATTTCGAATTTTAAATCAAAAAATCACCTATTGTGACTAGATTATGATCTTTAAATTCTCAAATGAAAAAAGATCGCTAACTGGGTCAATGGCCCCATGTGACTCCTCGTGGCTCCAATGCAGATATCAGGAAGGGTGCTAAGGATACAAAGTATTAAAAAAGTTTGAATTTTCTTGTTTCTTCTCCCCTTAAAGCCCTTTCACAGCATTTACTGCCTTCAAAACCACTTAAAAGGGACAGAATAACCCACTCTATTAAAAATCGTCATTCAAGCATGCGACAGCAACAGAGGGCCTTGTTATCCCTTATTTGGTCGCTTTATTGAAAAATTCTAGTAATCTACATGTTTCCTTTGGTAGAGTTTGCTATTTTTTTCTTAGGTGAATGGCGCAAAACATTCAGGCAAGTTTGCTTGATATCAGGCTGGCAGTTCGAAAAATAACAACCAAAATCGCCCTACTTTTTCACTATTTTACTTTGACGTGGGAACTTCAATTTTAAGTAAATTTGATGTTGAAATCACTAAATTGCGTTTTAGAAGGATACCTTCAAAATTTGTGACCTTTTAGGGTAAATTTTCATTGGAAAACACTAAGTCATTTCAAAATTGATAAGTAAAATAGCAATTTATCATCGAGAGGTCTTCACTCAGCTTAAAGAGCAATTTACATCCCATTTGTACGCGATTCCTTTAATTTAAAAGTATTCCTACAAAAAGTGTACATTTATTCACAAGAGGGAGCACCAAGGTAGTCCCACCATTTCCTGTGCACCTAACTCTGATAGCGCGACCTGATCGGCCAAAGTAACCGCAATCTATTCAAGAGATCAGGTCTGATTGAATGCTCTGACAAAACTGTGCGACTTTAGGAAAGTAAATGACTTTTTTAATCAAATGGGAATCTAAAAGATCACCCTTAAGAAAAGAAACACACTTCTCTCACAGTAGACACAGCTTTTGTTGTCCACTCCTCATTTACTTATTGTGGTATTGAAAAATTGGTTCGAATTCATAAATTAACATTCAACTTCCAATAAACTCTCGTTTGTTATGTCGGTTAGTTAAAATAAAAAGCGCATGTCAACAATCACTTAAATCAAAGCTGCTGACATTGATTGGAAACATCAGACTATTTAGCATAGTAGATGTGCAGACCTCAGTCGAGTGAATACACCGAAGGCAGGTTTTGGCAGCCAATTAGTTGCAGTAATGTTTACGTTTCAACTCTGACTGCTCTGGCGATCAATGTTAGAAAGAACTTTACGTAATTTCGAGAACCGTTAAGGCTTGATTGGCTAAAAAAGGGTTAGGCAAACATAACATTTTTGAAGGAGTTTGGAATGCTTTCCAATTAGTTTATGGATCACTTTTCTAAAAGTTTGTATAAAGCACTAGAACCATGAACAACACTGTCCATTGAAAAGAGGACTGATGTGTGTACTGCATCGGGTGAAGCTGTTATTGCCTATTGACCTCGAGAACAAATGGGTGGTCTTACGATGACTCGCCCGCATAATCGGATGGATGGAGGCGTGAATTACACCCGCTTTGCCCGCTCGCCTGCCAGCCTGCCAACTCGGTTAACGCTGTGATGATCCTGCTAGCAGCTTACCCCTCCTTCACCGGTCGTGCACGCACGCACGCGAGTGTGCGTGCACGATAACCGCGCGTGAATGAAGCTCGCACACACTTCTGCACACGCGCACGATCAATGCCCCACTACTCGAGCCGCTCTGATTGGTGCGAGAAGCAGCGACAAATCATCGACAGTGCCTGTGGGCACTGAGTCACGAAGATGATTTCAAGTGCCGAACACTGTCCAAGCGTTCAGGCTACCGCCGGTTCCTCCTCTACATCGAAGAGAAAATGCGTGAAATTGTGCACATTCAAGCGGGTCAATGTGGAAACCAAATTGGTTCTAAGGTAGGCTCTGTGCTATTTATTGTGGCTTGTGCCACGCCAGTGAACATTCTAATATTCAATCTAATCACAACAGTATTATTTGCTCTAGAAAGGCAGAGTTCCAACATACGTTGAGTACTCTTTATTATCATGTTTTCAACGATCAAGTTTTAGTATATCCACTATTTTTGTTCCGATATGTAGAGGAATACTTAATGAAATGCCCTTTTAGGGAGACAGTTTGTAACTACTATTTCTGGAAAGAAGGCACTGCACCTTTTTTGTTCATCGGGAACATCAAAAGATCTCCCTTGCATACTAACAACTCCTTGAGAAATTATTTTTAAGTTGCGCTCATGATGTTTGCCAACTTCATTTGGGAGTGCCTCTTGATGAACGGCATCTTGTAAGTCTCTTCTTTGATGAGCAGATTTTCGTCAGGTCGCATTGAGTCTTTGAACTTAAGGGTCAAATATGACCAACTTCCGACGAGGGTCCACAACATGATCTTGTCCACCAGAAAGGTATTAACCTCTGAAGTCCTTCCCAACCAGGCACTCTGTTCGTTAATATACAAAGCGAAATACATGGCATGTCATTTGAATGTATGTAACACTATTGGTCGGAAAAGTTACAAATGACGTCGAAATGAGTGCAAATTTAGCCTCCACAAAAAGGATCCTTTTAAAGCTGCTGCCACAATGCTCGTGGGGTGGGTTTCATGTCGGAGTGATCAACGATTGGTGGCAGAGTGCGTTCTTCACAGATGACCTTTTCCATGCTCAGTGTGCCTATAATATTTGTCCACAAAACACTATAATACCGCTTTTTTCGGAACGCATAAGTTTACATATGCTAGAGTTGAAGAGATTCCAGGGACGAAGATGACTTTGTTCAAAAAAATGCTTTAGCCAATTAAAAATACAACTTGCATCGGAAAGGTACATTTGTAGCGCATGGGTGGAGTCTGGATGATGTTCAACGGCAGACGAGTTTCGTTTAGTGATTGGATTTGAAAGAAATATTCACCACTGCCCACTGTGACCCTGATTTCATTCCTTCCTCCCTCTTCGCTGCTATTTTTTTGACTACTCGTCAATCAATTTGCTTTATTTTCATCTCCTTGTGGCATTTGGAGGTGTTGAATCCCTAGACTTTATTCATTAGCTATTTTTCGCAGGAACTTAAGAATAATTCTTTTTAAAAACTATTGCTATTTTTCTACATAACTCTCCCTTGACTAGTGACTCTCGTACGAATTTTTAAATCATGATGTTTGTCAGTTGGTTAGTGCAGTTTTCTGGATCCTTCCTTTGTCAATTATAATCGTCCACATCAAATGCCTTTCCCGTTTATCGCTTTCCCCTTACTATCCAGCCTCCCAGTCTTTGGAACATTAGTGAATGTGATCATTTTCTTGGTACAACTTTTGCATGGGCGCTTTCGATTTGTTACCAGCTGGTACTGTTCTGACAGCCTCCCTTTATTATGATTTCTTTCAGGTTACACTACGCAAAACGACAGAATTTATGGAGACGTGCTGCCAGTGAAGTTGTTGAATTATGGGTAACGTAGATGATATGAGCAGAGCTCCGTGTCACTAGCATTTAAACTTTGTCTCTAGGGGCTTAAAAGTAGACATCACAACATTACACTTGTCAATGTGAGGTAGAGAATGTGACGATCATATTAAATGTCGAACTAGAAGTGAACGTACACTTAAACTCTTCCATTCGTAGTTCTGGGAAGTAATCTCCGATGAGCACGGAGTAGACCCAACGGGCTCCTACCACGGAGACTCGGACCTTCAAGTGGAGCGCATAAATGTCTACTACAGTGAGGCGAGCGGCGGAAAGTACGTACCAAGATGTGTTTTAGTGGATCTCGAACCGGGCACCATGGATAGTGTGCGCGCAGGCCCCTTTGGACAGCTCTTTCGACCTGACAACTTCGTGTTTGGCCAGAGCGGTGCGGGCAACAACTGGGCCAAGGGCCACTACACCGAAGGTGCAGAACTGGTCGAGTCTGTTCTTGATGTCATACGCAAAGAATGCGAGTCCTGTGATTGTCTTCAGGGCTTCCAAATGTGCCATAGTCTTGGTGGTGGCACGGGGTCCGGAATGGGCACTCTCCTTATCTCCAAGATGCGGGAAGAGTTTCCAGATCGCATTATGAACACTTTCTCGGTCATGCCTTCTCCTAAGGTCAGTTTTGCCCATACTTTACATTTAGGTGTTAAAAGTTCATCCGTATAGTAGTCAATTTTAAAAACTACTATTAGCAATAACTCTGGGATTATGGACGTTTTTTATCAAAAAATATAAATTTAAGAGATTTTGGGGCTTTTAAAACGGAGAACTATAAAGGTGGGGTCTCTTTTGTAAGTATGGGATTTACCGCTTTAATCCGCAAAGAGGTTGAAACAATCCTACAGGATTATGATGGTATGGTGCTCAAATCGCTCCTGAAGAGGAAGGGGTAGCGAGAGTAACAACCCAGAAGAGGCAAGCAATACGCCCTTACATTAGTAAGTCAGTGAAAGACTGAATCGCCCGCATAGCCAAGTATGGGACTGTGACAAGTATCCACCTGTCTCAATTACATGGAATCTCGTGTTTTAGGATTAGGTGGGATTGAGATGCATCATACACTTACTCCAAGATCTCACACATTTTATTGGATTACTGCAAATACCCTGCTAACGAATACACCTAGGAGCAATTTGGTTTTTAATCTAATAGGATTGCGATATTTTTCTCCTTGAACCAATCTGGATATTAAGTCCTAAAGAATTAAAACTCCCCTTCCCTCTGTGTGCGTCAGAAAAGCCTATATTTGGTGACTTCCCGTTTGAAAATACAATCTCATGAACCCACCCCTTATTACGCCTAGTAACAGCTACATCCACCTTCTCTTTTTCAGTCAATCCATCGGTTATTCAATGAAGGATTGCTCTCAGCTTTGAAAACTACCATTTAGACTATTATTGCGTAAAAGATCTTTTCAAAAAGGATTAAATGCCAGCAGAACTGAGTTGCCCATGTAAATCGCTACCTTATAGGTCTCGGATACAGTGGTGGAACCCTACAATGCGACGCTGTCGATTCACCAGTTGGTAGAAAACACTGATGAGACCTTCTGCATCGACAACGAGGCTCTCTACGACATTTGCTTCCGAACTCTGAAGCTGACGAATCCTACTTACGGGGATTTGAATCATCTAGTCTCTGCAACCATGTCAGGTGTAACCACATGCCTGCGTTTTCCTGGTCAACTAAATGCTGACCTGCGAAAGCTCGCCGTTAATATGGTACCTTTTCCACGTCTGCACTTCTTCATGCCGGGCTTTGCACCATTGACAAGTCGTGGCAGTCAACAGTACCGTGTTCTTACGGTAGCCGAATTGACGCAACAAATGTTTGATGCGAAAAACATGATGGCGGCGTGTGATCCCCGTCATGGTCGCTACCTCACCGTTGCCGCTATGTTCCGTGGTCGTATGTCCATGAAGGAGGTAGATGACCAGATGCTGAATGCTCAGAACAAGAATTCCTCTTACTTTGTTGAATGGATCCCGAATAACGTGAAGACTGCTGTGTGTGATATTCCACCACGTGGACTCAAGATGTCGGTGACCTTCATGGGCAACACCACGGCTATACAGGAGATCTTCAAGCGTGTGAGTGAACAATTCACTGTCATGTTCAGAAGAAAAGCTTTCCTTCACTGGTACACTGGTGAAGGCATGGATGAGATGGAATTCACCGAAGCGGAGTCGAACATGAACGATCTTGTGAGCGAGTACCAACAATACCAGGAGGCCGGAATTGGAGATGATGAGGAGGAAGATGAAGAGGGAGCCATGGGTGAGGAGATCGATGCTTGAAAGTCCCTGACAAGTTTATTGCCAACATCGCTGTTGTTTTTGTCAGCATTTTTCAAAATCATTCACTTGTTGTTTCCGCCTCTCTTTTTTATTATATTAGTTTTCTCCTTCCCTTTATATATGCTTTCCTCCTCCTTCACTTGCATTCTCTCAAGCGTAACATCGCTGTATTTCGACAACAATTTCTTTTTGGTCTAAATAAATGGCTATTTCTTCCTCGCATTCTACAAACCTACCTTTGTGCCATTTTAAAGCTGCATATGCGTAGCCATTGGAATGTTCCCTCGTCATCTTGAGGAAACTGCTATAACTGAATGCGCATGCACAAAACAGCCCAAATATCAGTTAAAATTAGGTGGCCATCCGATCGTTATGGCTGGGAGAATGACCCTTCATGCACATCATCTGTTTTACTTGCATTCCTTTGTTTATAAGTGTTTCTTGAATAGTATAACACGAGCTGAAACATTCCGAGCATCTGACAAAGTCAAGTCGGGCTGTTAGGAGACTATGAGTCTGCTACACTACTTTATACGACAAGTAGCATTGGGTTTCTCAGTTATTAATCTTGATTATATCTACCACTTATGCTTACTTGCCTACGCCTGTCATAAATCGCATTATCGTGCAGTAGTACGGTGGTGTCAGTTCTAGTGTGTCTTTACTTATGCGGGCTTTTCAGTTTCCGCGGATTGTACTACAGCCTGGAGGCACGACCCTCTGGCTGTGCCTACGGACTCCAACCCTTCTCTACGTCAATGATAAATCGTCTTCTATACAGATTTGGGCTATTACGACTTTGGAAAAGACTTAAAGGCCTAGAGCCAAAATACTCAATTTTGTAATTGCGTTAATAATTGCTGAGATGGAAGTATTAGCCATGCCTGAGTGAATCACGGTTATTTCTGTCCGCCAATCCTGCTGCTCCTACAGCTTTCAATGCACATGAATTGCCACCCTGGGGTGAAGATGGGTGGGAAAATGGAGCACAAGAGACATCTATTTTTCGCTAATTAATGTGCACTGAATGTCTGCTCTGAGTGCATAAATTTGCTTTTGTCGGCTTATGGCACACTTTCCTCTTTGGGATTCTTCGTCGGGTAAAATAAATGACCTTTGTTTTAATTGTAAACTTGGTTCTGCTAGCTTCCCCTTTTCAGCATTTAACTAATTGGACGTCTTACCTACTTTTTTGTGCCTTTAAAGAGGGTTTAGAGAACCACATCTGCTGCAGCGGCGAGTAAACCTGATTCGAAAGGATACCTACCCCGTTGACCTTGGCTGTTTACCAGACTTTGAAATTACAGAAAGAGGGCACGCAATGGGGGTTGCTTTGTCTGTTGAGACGCATGACAGAATGGTTGTCGAATCCACTTTCATTTCTGGTGATTATCCCAATTGCGAATTCTGTGAGATACTGTAGCACCTCGTGTCTTTCCTGAGGACGAAAGAAGTCGTAATACGAAGACAGAAAATGTTTGGCCTGCATGAAGAAGGACTGAGGAGCTACTGGCATGGCCAGGAGGCCACACGGTCCAGCAAAGGTATAAATGAAGGAGCCTTTAGTGACCCCGTAACCAGAACTGAGAGCTAAACAAACAAGTAAAGTTGCACAACACATCGAACAGTCGAGGCGACACTATGCTTGGATGGTTTAAAACTGTCCATTATGGCGCCACTTGTACGTTTACAATACCTCCTCCACGCTCACATCAGCTGGTGGAGCTGAAGTGGACGGATGGGCGGTGTGAAATTGTGAGCAAAGTGGCAAGGAGGATTGGATGCGACATATTTTCCCCTGAAACTGTTCCTTCCATTAGCGATGGGCAAATGAAATGCATACACTCGGCAGGGCATCATCTAGACGTGAGAAGCATGGAGCTGGTAAATCACCCTCTTTTAATGCAGGTGACAAAGAGGACAAAACCTCAGGAGAATTGTCACAGGCGTCGGGATTAAATGCCTCAGCTATACAGCCTTTGGGCCATGGTTATAGCCACCCGGCATTTCTCTACTTTAATTATAGATCCTTGTTACAAGTTATTTGGCCTTATTACGGCTTTGAAAATGAGTCTATGCTCTCCATTCCGCCAATTAAAACTAGTTCATCTTGGAAATCGAATTTAACCCGATTTTAAAGCTCCATGAGCTTCCTGGCAAACTTTTTGTACAACATTTAGAGGTTTGTGTTTACGATAGCAAAACTTGCCGCTCAGAAGTGACTTGTGCAATAAAGTAGTTATGATGAACCACTGTAAGACCAAGGCATTTCCGCTTCCAATTAAAGTAATTCAAGATAAAAGTGTCAAGAACAGCTTTCGATCGCATTTAGCTTATCGTGAATAGCGAAAAATTGACCTACACCTTTATCCATTAACTGAGAGGGGAATGTTGAGGTAGAAGCTACGTGGCTGAGAATAAAGGTTTCACCAGTACTCCACACTTCTAAGGCAGGCATCACTTTAGCCCCACATTACCATTCATGTTTTGTGCATGGTGGACCGCAAGAGTAATTGTTCATGTGTTTCGAAGACCAAAAACCGATTGCGTCTGAGATCCATTTGCTCAAAACAATTCAAGGATTTGTAAGAAAACCTTATTTTTTATGAAAAAATATAGGATAGGTGAGTTTGTGTGAAAGAAGTCCTACTCTTGTTACAAAGAATGATTTTGTGCCTCAAACTTATGTAAAAATGACCATCCAGATGGTCTGCACTATGAGATTGGAAGAAAACGTCGGTTGATCTTAATCCTCTGTATTTCTTTGATATTGTCTCCTTTTCTGGAGCTTTGCAATCGAGTGTGAAGTGGAAAAAACTGTCGAGCAAGGAAAGTGAGGAAGAAACGGGGTGGCTTGAGCTGTTTTTCACTTCTGGAGGCAAAAGACTTTAATTGGTAATTTCGCAAGCCTTGGAATAAAACTATTGTATTGCATATACATATGTTTAAGATAGTGTAGTATATTCATTGTTTCTATCTTCCACCTCCTGCTTCAGATTCCTAAATCGAGAAAATTGGGTAGAGGGAGACATCTTACATTGCGCAGCATGGGGAGATTAGCTGTTTCTGCTCCCATTAGGTGTATTTAAATAAATACTCGCCATCAGAGTAACATTAGCTTAGTTTAGATTTCAATTGGCGAAATACTTCTCATTTACCACGGATTCAATGCACCATCTTCCCACAATTGAGAGATATTTTGCCCTCTACTTACAATTGACAGTAATCATTTTTGAATCAGGGCTGATGGGATAGGGGTATTTCTCCGACTACACATTTTTCAGGGCGATGCGAGAGAGTTCGAGATCATTTGTTACAAAGCTTAGAAAAGGTGTCCAAAATAGAGTAAAAAGGTGTAAATCTTCTGTGCCACCATTCTTCAAATATTAGGGATGTCAGATACAAGGTTTGAAATATCCTACTCTCGAGAATGTCGCCTACTGCCAAAAGAAAGTTTCACTTTGTTATTTCATACTTTAGCTTTCCATTTCATTTCAGGTAGGAGTGGTGGCAAAAAAAACACGACTACTTTATTGGAAGGCACCGCAGAGACGAGTTAAAGAGGAATTTAGTATAATTCCAACTCGAAGCGGTCACCTTCCTCCAGCAGTAGCTACGGGTCAGAACACAGGTATGGGGTGCGTCTTCTATGGGGGTATGCGGGTTTGTTGGCTTCTGGGCTTTGAGGTCGCTCACCTATTCAGCGCCCGTAGAAACAGGCATGACCTGGATCCTTAAAGGTAGAGGAAACCTCTCCAGGGAAGGCCAATATCGCACGCCAATGCGCTAACTTTAAACGGAAGAGTCCTTGTCCACAGCCTGTGTTATAAAGCGCAGCAGAATGATATTTGTGGTAATTACATAGGTCCCTTCAGTCACTTGATCTAATCAAGGTGTTTAGGTTACATTCAGCACATCCGTAATAAAGCTCCTCCCAAGCTTGTGCGCTCCGGTGAGGCCTCAGGGATTACTGTCTGAATCTAGAATGGCCAATTAAGGTTTTGAAATGAAATTAAATAAAGACCTATTTTGCATTCGTTGAATCAGCCGCAATTTGCCTTTTTTTACTTCGAATCCCAAAATTCATACCTGCTACGAAGAAGCGTTGAAACTAAGCTGACCAAGTTATTATCAACTATACGTGTTTTATCTCCACGGCGAGGTGTAGGGAGATGGGAATGAGAGAGAGGGAGGTAAATCCTCCTGCAAATCGCTCCCTAGACATGGGGACTGGATCAGTTCCTTCTGCCTGTGCATATATATGTGTGTGGGTATATCACAGGAAGTACACACGACATTTAATTGGAAAAGGGGTAAGACAAACATCGGTACAGGTGACTCCATGAGAAACCCAGTTCTCACGAAAAAGCAATCGTGAATTTGCATGACTAGGGACGATAAGCAATTGACGGTTTTAAATCGTCTGTTAAACTTCCGATTGGGTGGACCATAAATTTTTCTCGTTTCTTTGAAGATGATGAAAGATAGAATGCCTCTGAGGAAAATCGGGTACCATGTTTCCAAAATGACATCAAATAAAGCTAATTTTCCCACCAAATCAGACACTGCTTAAAGGTTAAAAAGACAATCATCCTCATCCTACCTATTGCCAATTTTACTATTATAAACTCTACCAAGAATCTAATACAACCGGCTAGCATGAAATGGTAAAGGACATTTGCCACATAATTGTGAATCCGGGCGAAAATAAGAACATCGGGGTGCCAAGCCTTTGCGATGCCAGTACCAAACGGATTTATGCGAAATGACAATAGCCGGTCAGAGGATGAGCGTTTTTTTCAGTTCATTTAAACTGACCTGTCTAGTGTTCCTGTGACAATGGTTTTTTACTCCAGCTAGAGCTTTATTGTTACTTTTCAATTCCAGCTATCCCGTTACTCCACTCATGCAAAGCAACCGTGGAAGAGATGGAGCAGAGTCACAGTAGTGCAGGCACAAAGCCAAGCAGCGAATTACACAATGGAGATGAAAAGAATCAAGTGGGAAATGGTTTGGAGTGGTGTAAAAAGTACCGCCTTTCAGTTCTCGCTCTAGTGTGTCTGTGGTTGTGTGTGTGGGAGTGCGGTGCCTTTCAAAGTACTTTTCATCTCACCGGGAGTAGCCTCTCAATCTTTTCTTTGGCAAAACAACTAGACAGGGTGTATCCAATACTCACATTCACACAGAGTTCAGAAGACGCAACACTTAATTTGACCACCTCTGGTAGGAGAGGATGGGAGAGGTCTCCTCTTAGGCTCACAGGATCGTGTGACTTTCCCTACATTTCCATGTAGGGGGTAGAACACCTGGAAATAGAGCTACCCAGGTGGAACGACAAAAGAGCCGAATGTTTCAGAACCATGTGAAACTGGGGCAACTTTTGCAGCAGTGGCAACGCTTGAGCTGATGGCAGACCACTTCTAGTAGCATTTCTATTACTCTCTTATATGTGATGCAGCGTGGAATCAAGTTAGAGATCCGTTTTATCCAAATTTGGGGAATTACTAATAACGCAAAGTTACGCACTGGTGATACAACCTAATGCTTGATAATGTGGGTGGTGGAGTCCTCTCCCACCAGTTTAGATCAAAATGCGAAACCACGCATAAGCAAATAAAATGAAGGGGATAGTAAATAGTAGCCTTTACACAAACTACTATCAGACAATGTGCCCTTTGGTCTACTGTAATGTATTCCTCATGCTACTCGTGTGTTCCCGGTTCATCAGCAGCGGGGTCCGCACCAATGGCATCCCCCAACCCTCCCCTACACGGCTAGAAGTCGTGCGCTGTGTTCTCCCAGCACCAAGTCCAATGAGTCATCGTCAACCCACCAGCCTGCAAACCGCCGCCCCATGCACAGCATGCACACCCACGCGCACATGCACGCACGCACGCACATGGGTGCATGGAGAGAGTGCGAGTGAGCGAGAGAGCACGCGCGCTTATATCGCGCGTATCGATTTTCTAGCCTCCCAAGCGGCCTTGTGAATGCAGCCCTGTGTTTACATGTCGGTGCCTGTTTTAACTAACAAACGCACCCACCCTCAAGGTGGGGGCCTGTTCACTGCAGTCCGCACTCCGCACCTCGCATCATTTCGATGTGGCGCAGTTGAAAGCCGGTTTCGCCTAGTACCACCAGTGGTTGTAGTAGTGATGGTGGTGGTGCTGACAGCAGCACCACCCATTCTCAAGACTGCTCTCTTGCATTAGTGTACTCCAGCTATGGTGTCGGTCTCAAAATAAGCCAAACTCCGGCCATTCTAGAGCTCAAAAGTGTAAGTCCTAGGTGAAAGTAAATGCTTTATCGTATCCACTAGTAAATATTGGTGGCCTACTCCTAGCGTAACCAAAGACCACTACGAGTATTTGAAATATTCAAAGCTAAGACATCTTCGTCCATCAGGGGGCTAATGAACAATCAGTTCGGAAGCATGCGTTTCCCACCACATTCATCAATATTTTCAGCCTATGATGGATTTGTTTTACCGACCATATCTCGTAAATCCTGGTGGGGACTCCTGTCGGTGACACGCATTAGTAGTAGCCTTACCAGTTCACTATGTGGTTCAAATTTCCAACTCTAATCCAAACTGTTATCGCCTTTGTATGGAGCATGAAAGAGATTTAACCTAACACCATTTCAGGGCGACATTTCCATTTCATTGCCATACAGCCAACACCAGCGGTCATTCGTTAATTTGTTCGTGCCAATCTGTAACGTTAAAATAGTGGCAAAACGGCCACAGCGGCAACTTTGATCCTGTCATCTAACTTAGTGGATGAATCGCCTTTATTCAAGAATACCTTAGTAGAGATTGATGCATATAATCATGGCCCTCTGTGTTGAAGTTAAGCTCCTCCGAGACACGCTATAGCGTGGTGTTGCATGAGCTATCTCCCTCACTGGCTCAGACTGAGGGATAACTTGGCTAAACAACTTGCAAGCTTGGTGCAAAATTAACGTGTTTTTTTTCGCCAAAAATGATGATACACATCGGCCTCACGTGGAGTCACTTTTTGCCACTCTAAGTCCTTTTATCTCATAGGACATAGTTGGAATCACGCCAGCATGCTCGGCAAAACCAACGTGTCAGGCACCTCAGTCGTGATCCAAGAATAACTTCAGCCTTCTTCTGCATTTGGCCGTTGCTTTTTTTTGCTTTATTGTCAAACGCTTAAGCCTGGTAATTTGTTTGATATTCACTGTTGGATCTACTTACTCTTAGAACAAAAGACTACGAAAAAGAAGAAAGGCACATCTTGTTTCCTTCAAAGTAATCCCCTCTCTCAGGCTCTCAGATCACTTGTGTGAAACCGCTTTTACTCCTGCAACTGATTAATCATTTTTTTTGTTTCGACAGTTTGCTCAAAACTTGAGTGGATTTATTTGTTGTGGTAACCTGTGTGAATAAAAAATTCCTACTGTCTACAGTGGAGCGATTTCGCATAGTTACAACCAAAGTCCCATTTACTGCTTGCTATCGTGGATCCCTGGGACGTGCCGACTAATTATGCTAATCGGTTCAGAGATTGATCACTCGCTAGATAAGGCAAGTTTGGGGGATTACTAGAAAGTGGATTATGGTGAAACGGCGTGGAGGGAGGGCTGTTTAAACAGCGAGGGTATTATTGTAGTGGGTTTAGGGTCGCCAGCCTTCTATCTTGTCCTCAAAGAAACATGCAATAACCGCGCAGAATGCGAGCAAAGAGAGGCCGTGTGCACATCCACCAGGACGGTTGGTTGTAATGACAGCAACCCACAATTACGCAATCAATGGATCAGCGCTTTATCCACAACCCTGCATGCATGTCCGTAGGCGCGCGCGCGCACGCACGCACCTAGCAGTCTGCACCTCAACCTACCGGACAAATCAGGCTGTGCATACCTCCCGTTGCCCCAGCGACCATACATATGCGCACGTGGTACAAACTCGGGAACAGCTGATACTTGCACACACGCACACACACACGTGCGAGTGCGTGCGCGCGCGCTGCCTATTCGTGCGTGTCTGCACGTGTACGCAGTGTGCACACCCGCGTTCTCCCCAGAGTGCACACGTGCGCACGCAGGCTTCTCGTAGAGCCTGCACCCGTACAACTCCAACTGACACGCACGCACCCACGCACACACGCACCCGCACGCAAGCACATGCAAAACTGCATATATCTACCGTCTTTGCGTCTGGTTCAGTTGCGTGTAGACCTCCACTTTGCAGGTACGTAGACGTTCAGACGGATCGTAAACATTTTGGTAAGTTGCATACCCCCCTTTCCTCATACTCGGTTTCATTTGAACATCGCACAATAATTGGGTGTAGCAAGGGGAGTGCATGCGTTCATGCGTAGGAGATAGGGGCAGGAATTTGGACGAATGGGATGGTCGCCGCGCTCCCCGTATTTGCGCGACCAATGAGAAATCGCCCTGTGGGCAAACCATCTTCCACAGGGGTGGACCTGTCTCTCCCTTCAAGTGGGAAACAGAGCCAGAATTTTTAATTGCTTAAGTGAAAAAATGGAACTTAGTTTAAAGGCAAGGCATTACAGAGACCCGAACCATAAAATGTTTAATCAACTTGCTCGGTCCCTTAGAAGAGGAGATCCCACAGAATTATGGTCGCCCCGCCGAGCGCAGCTCAAAAAGAAGTGAATAAAACCGTAAACAGATGTTAGACAGTCTCAAATTGACTATTGATAACCTCACTTTTAGATGCAAACCTTATTTAGCAATTCCGGCTTTAATTGTAACACTTTGATGTCGCAAGGACTGACAGAGGTGCTGACCAACGGATTCAATCTTAACGACTTTCCCTTTGGTCTACTGAACGCTAAACCCCTCAAAAAATCCGAAAATTCTCCGGTCTTATCACCAGAAACTCGACATTCTGCTCCTTCAACTCCTACGCCTGTTAGTTCTACGGGATACATGCAGCTCCCCTTTGTAGAAAAGTCAATTCAACCTTCTGTCAACGGTAGTACAAATAATGTTAAGGAAAAACTCCTGGCTGCATTGAGGGAAATAATCCCGCACAAGTCGAGTCTGAATTTACGAATGCTGATCACCTACACCGTGGATAATGCCAGATCCGATGTGATTGTGATTGACGAGACCCTAAATCGCAAAGATTGTGAGTCTTTAGCACCGACAGGGAATATTCTTGATCTTTCGCGGAAGTCGGAAGACTCCACGAAGCCCTTTAACAAGGAAAATAATGTGGGATGCATGATAAAAAATTCTGCGACACCCATTTTAGGTCTCGTTTCTAACACAGCTACGCCGTTTAACATCATTCAACCCACGGACACCTCACCACCAGTGACGATGAATCCAGAAGCCGCACTTCTGATGCTACAGACCCTGCTCAACAATACCAGCACTAATCTCTCTCAATTCGGCTCGTTTAATTTCTCCCTCCCCATGAACTTAACACATGTGCAACAAGCAGAAATAAAATCGCAGATTTTCCCCAGTGAAATCGCTCCAAACATCACTATCACCAATTGTGAGAATATCCTATCAAACCTTCAATTTGGACCGAAATTGGAGGCATCAGTTCCTGCTACAAATGAAAGTGGGAGCCGAAGTTCCTCTCCCCTCTCCAATCACGAGAGATCCTCACCTCTTGGAACTTTCAAACCGCTTCCGAAGTCCTCTGCTCAATCCGTCTCAGGCACCTTCAGCCGGCGCTACATGCACCCTCGGCGATTTATTTGCAACCAATGCCGGCAACAATTCTCCTCTTTGGCTGAACTGAATCGGCACACATTGGAATTGCACAACTCTTTCCGGTGCAACTTCTGCAAGGCAAAGTTCACCCAGCGCTCCAACCTCCAGCGTCACTCCCTGAAGCATGTCGGTTTTAAGCCCTTCACCTGCAATATCTGCCAGAAGGAGTACTATCGAAAGGACCACCTGGTTAGGCACATTGAAGTCACCCACCCCAATGTTGATCCCCGAGTAAATATCACCACTCGTCTAACCTCCTCAGAATGCCTCGACTTTTTGGATAATCTGCACGTGTATGGTAATTCAGAGGGCTCTGTGGAAGAGACTAGCGGGTCGTCGCAAAACGAGACACTCGCTGGATCGAAATTCTCCCCCGTAAGGCTGGAGGAGAGTTCCAGACTGACGGATGAAGGTCCTTCTGAAGGCCGTATAATCACCCTGGGAGCTGGAGAAGAAGGTGTTCCAGAGGTAGAGTCGCCTTCGAAAGCCTTAATTGGGAAAATCGAACAGTCTCAGCCAATGGAAACGTAGAAAGGTGGCTAAAACCCAGTATGATGCATTTCGTCGGGGCTAGGTAGTTTCTCGGTATTTCTAACGACTGGTTTCCTATTTATAATGATCTACAATTGTGTATATTATATGTCACCCACGTCTCTGTGATACTACTTGCTAATAATTTCTTGCTATTTCCGTATGTACATACATATACATATATATATATACATACTACTATGCTGCTGTGGTTCTTTTGATTAAAACTTCACTTTCGGTAACGCGTGGCTATTTGGACTTTTGATGCTCCAAAACTTAACCCCATCTTGAACCAGAAAAATGGCAGATTTAAATCCCTTATGCAAGAGTTTAAATCGGGTGCCTGAAACCTAAAATTAAAGTTAATTTGTGGGACGATTACTCAGGCATTGGGGCGAATAAACGCAACTCCTCCTTAAGGGCGGTGCAAGCGATGTAAAAGGAGGGAAAAAAATACGCACTTTTGTCTGCTAACTTAACCACTTTTCTCCTTTTCTAATACGGTCTCTCAGTGTGGAGGAGGCGTCCTTCATTACACAACAATGAATTGTATATTGGCATAAACGATAAGAATGTCAAATTTGTTTAAAAATGCTCTTATTCTGAATATAACCTATTTTTATCAGAATACCCAATTCAAAGTGAGCTCATGCTATCTTTGGATCATTGGGTGGCATGTGGTTTTGTTAGGACATCACACCAGCTCCATTCAACCTACCACTTGTCTTCACTTGCCAAAAAGACTATTGTGACGCCATCGTGATAGCGTCAGCGACTACACCCTGTGGAGGAGTCGCCTTTGAGCTCCTCAACCGACTTAGGGGATATTGTTAGTGGTTAAATGGAAATGGGAAGATGTTTCACTAGCCGGAGGGGTCCGTTTCAACATGGCGGTGGTGTGAAATTTCCAGGAGTATGGGACTTTCACAGTTGACTTCCTATGAATTCACACCTCTCAGAATTGCTCTTTTTATGTGGGACTCGGCAGCTTTCTCTCTCTTTTTTCAGATCTTTCAAAATGGAAAATTTTCCCAGAGACTTATGAACGTGAACATCATCACTGGATCTAAAAATGCCCCATAATTATCAGGGATGAAAACTTACCCAAGATATCTTTTTCGCTAAAAGGTGGAATGAATTTTAGAGGCACCGACTTCATTTTGACTCCACCATCCTGTGGTGGAGTAACTTTTCAGAGACTAAGGTCAAAAAATGCCTTAAGTAGTGATTTGTTAACAGTTTTTAAGTAGCTTAACTCAACCATGAAGAGGAAGAGAGAGGAAGTCGTTTCCTTGGCCTACCGAGCTGGTGAGATTACTAAAAAACAGAGGGTACTGAAAGGCCTTCCACCCTTACAAATTTCATGCATCCCTAACCACAAACTACTTAACGAATTAAAAATCAAATAGTGTAAATGATTACTTCAAATATTTTAAAGGTATCGCTGGAACTTAGGGGATTTGTGTGGGGAAACTTAGAAGATTAAGGCGTTGGAATATCCCTTAGATCAAAATTAACGGCTCAGAAGGCAAATTATTGCTTGTTTCCTCTACTATCTTGCCCCCAAAATGCACCCGTTAAGCCGACAACGCTTACTGCGGATACTGCGACGATTTCAAGGCTTATCAGGCAGTGAAAGGCCATTCATCAAAGCCTCCAAATTGAGACTGGTGTGTACTTGCAAAAAACCGCCACGTCAGTGACAAGGCGGGTACACTGTGGTGGTAGGGACAGAAAGAAGAGGTAAATTACCATGTCTCCACGTCCGCGGGCGCTCTCATGTCTAGACCGTTGCTTTGCGATGCGATGCGCTATGCTTTGGTGGCTTGGCTTTTTTTCAATAGCGGAGACTTGTACACTGGGCGCGTTGGTGATTTAATTACCTCTTGTTACCCCAAAAACAGGAATCTTCAAGCTCATGGACCTCTTTTACCTCAAATTGAGAATGGGAATAGGATAGCCTGAGAGGTATTACCTCAATTCGAAAGTCCTTTGGGTTCTTCCTTTTTTAGTGCTTTCAATTATTTGTCCCCGAGAGACTAGAAACCGCTACATCTTAGTGACTCACAAAGCAGCCTGGCAGCTCCCGACTTACGCTAATCTTAACTTCAACACTCTCCTATTCCTTATATGAAGTCTTTTCAGTCCTTTTTATTCTGGGAGATGACCAAATATGGGGGGAAGAGATGTTCAGATAAACAAGCAGGTCAGTTACCTGGTGAACAAGCGAGCGAGCGAGCTAGTGAGCGATTAAGAGAAAGGATGGGTGAAAGTGTGTGTATGTGGGTTCTTGCATAACAAATTACTGCATCTCCTAACTGCATATGAAATTTCCTCTTCACATGAAGGACGTCATAGTCCTCCTTTCATCTTGCATGCTATATCCCTACCCCCGAGAGGGTATTCTTCAATCTGAGAATACTTCGATTATGCAATGCCCATGCCTTTCTTATTCCACGAAACTCAGAGTTTCTGATTTATTCCATGGGAGTGTCAATTCGGTTTAGTTTCCCTTTAGGTTAGGGGGTCATGTATGTACGATTTGTGGTTTTGTTTTAAACCTGATGAACTTTGAAAATACAAGGTAATAGGTTTAGTATTGGCAAAATATTTTGTGATTTCGTGCTTTCCACAGAACTTTGGGTCGTTTTAAGGTAAATCGACAAATCAGAAACTTAGCTAGGTAGGGTAACTTTCCACTGACGAGATAATGTCGATGTAAGGCCAAAAGTGCAGAATTGTAAAGAGTATCCTCTTTTAAATTGAAACTTCCACTTACATCGTTGGCATTGAAAAAAATAGGAAAATAGAGCGGAAGTTTGGTCGATTTCTTGAAACAACTTAACCGCTAGAATATGTGACTAGGCAACAGATATAATACGGGAAGTTGGTTTTAAGTGAGCTAAAACGAAACCGGCCTGCAATGATAGCTGCACTTCAAAAGGATGGTCAAATCATAGTCTTATCTTACATAAAGTAGTTGTCTCAAAATTTTACCACACAACTGTCAATCACTTGTCAATTGACTAGACTGTAGAGGGATATTTTCCACTCAGAACTAATCACATGAATTGTAACACCCCAATAAGTCCTATTGTTCATGCCGTTAATAGCTGACCCCTTGACCTCGTGTATCGCGGCTAATCAGTAAATCAGAGGTTCAACAAGACAGAGAAACAGGGGCTTGGATATGGATATTTTCAAACAGACACGGAATTTATGACTGTGTATGTGTGTTCACCGATGCAGCTTACATATGCATGAGTGCTTGTTTGAGGAGAGCTGCAGAACCCTGAGCATGTGCCTTTATTCGTGTGGGAGGGAGGGATGGATGGAGCGATGAATCACCGGAAATGGAGAAATTGCAGGGAGACGGAGCGAGAGAGAATGAGAATCGGGTCAGCATCATCACAAATGCGCAGGCAGCCAGGCTGGTAGGCAGGCAAACAAGCAAGCAAGCACTCACTCATTCAAACACACGCACACACTTGGAGTGAATGTGTGTGTGTGTGTGTGTATGCACAGACCACTGGGTCAGTAGCTTGGTTGACTCACCATCCAAAGGGTGCCGTGTTGTTCTGTACACCGTATGAATGCGCCTAGTCTGACCGCATACAAACTGCATCCAGTTGAGTGTTTTTGCTTGCTGGGAGCGCATGGAAACCGTTTCATCCCATTGCTTTCCTGCTCTCCTCCTACCCTAAAACTACCTCGTTATAAGATTGTACGACGACGTTTAAGACTAGTGTCCCCGGCTTTGAGAGTGGAAATTTAGTGGTAATTTTACTTGACAAAGCAACGCTAATGCAAGGCACTCGGGGGCCTTGCGTCACATACACCCATCTGTATATTTAGGGTGCAAGGCACCCATACACCTCGGTAATTGTCAGAAAAGCTCCCCATTCACACTGCTGATTTATGCCTATGTTTATGCACTTGTCAAGCAGGGAATCATTCTAAGACCGAGCCTACTCAGATGGCACCGCAGCACTCCAAGTAGGATTCGTGTGCTTGGCTGGGGGTTCCTTAAAAAATGACTGAACGGGACTTGATAGTGTTTACTTTCCTCCTTATAGACTCAGTCCTGTTTAATAACCTCAGTTCAATTATTTAGTAAATCATTAATTTTTTCGGTGGCTTTTTGATTCCTTTAGTTGAGATCGTGTCCGCACTAAAGATCTCAGACAGGCTGGACATTTACTTGTGTCCCGCCGCTGCTTTTCTAGCGTAGACGTCTCCTGCATTGAGTCAAATAAGGGAAAGGAATGAAGTGATATTCAGGTACAACTGGGATAATTTTTCTGCATTTAACGTCTTAACAATGAATGACATTGTTGATAATATGGACAGACATTGTGTGTGATAAATAGACGTCAAAGATGACTACCGGTGCGTTCGAAAGGTTCTACAACTAAGCAAAAAGAGTGGAAATAAAGTGGCAGTGAATGAGTGCACAACGCTGGTCATGAGAGGCCTCAAATCCTAAAAATTCCCACAAACTGTTAAACACACCCCAGGATTTTGCAAGTCAGACTAGGCACCCACTACTTCAAACGCGTGTGTGCATGACTGTGTGTGTGTGTGTGTGTGGTTGTTTGCGTGTTTTGCTTCAAGACGCCTCACATCAAACAGGCTTCCGCTGTCATTACTCTATGAGGTGCCCGTGACACTGCTGCCCCACCTTTGACGTGAGAAAAGCCTCCGCTTTTTGCGCCATTAAAAGCGCACGTCGGCAACTCATCCCAACCCAGCTAACTACACACTCCACTTTGACACGACCTTGAAGAGTGCAGAATATCTCCCTGCGGTCCCGCTGCACAAATTTTACACTAGCTTTTAATAATCGGGTAACTCAAGATCATTGTTCTTCTTACGCCAGTTAGAAATAAGATTAATGCAGTACAGATCGTGTGAAGTTAAAATTATTTGGTTGAATACTTAAGGTTTAGGTGATTTTAATACTGCAAGTGTGGCAGCAATTTTGCTGCTGAAGCTCATAT